TTAAGATCTGGGGGCAAGGTGTTTTTAATATAACCGCAGTAAGACATACTTCTCGTTAAAGAAAAAATCCACTGGCGCGCGTAGCCCGAACGGCATAAGTACGTCTCAAGAATTAACTACGAGAATGACGGGAAGAATATCCTCTGAAACACTGACTCTGCAGGCAGGACTAAACTGCACCTTGGTAGTTTGGTTAAACCATTAAACTAAATACAATGATGGGAGAATTCAGAGGTTTTGTTCCAGATAGAGTGAAATTCAACCTGAATTTACGGTAGGGCTATGGACTTTGGAGGCCCAACCATCAGCCAAGTCTCCAGTGTATACGCGTGGTAGCGCATCCTGGGGATGAGGTGTGTGGTTGTATGTATTACTTCGCTTTGCTTCACGCCGAGTGTACCATTCGCTTATAATGNTAGTTTGTCTCAAATCTGGCCAAGGGTAGAGAGCGCTGAGCAATATTTTGATAAAACAATCCCAAAAATCAATATCTTTGACCAGCTGCTGGCAAATATCCNAAAGATCTGCGGGACAGGGTGTTTTTAATATAACCGCAGTAAGACATACTTCTCGTTAAAGAAAAAATCCACTGGCGCGCGTAGCCCGAATGGCATAAGTACGTCTCAAGAATTAACTACGAGAATGACGGGAAGAATATCCTCTGAAACACTGACTCTGCAGGCAGGACTAAACTGCACCTTGGTAGTTTGGTTAAACCATTAAACTAAATACAATGATGGGAGAATTCAGAGGTTTTGTTCCAGATAGAGTGAAATTCAACCTGAATTTACGGTAGGGCTATGGACTTTGGAGGCCCAACCATCAGCCAAGTCTCCAGTGTATACGCGTGGTAGCGCATCCTGGGGATGAGGTGTGTGGTTGTATGTATTACTTCGCTTTGCTTCACGCCGAGTGTACCATTCGCTTATAATGGGAATGACGTGGGCAGTAGTAATTGCCTTTGATCTTCAAAAATTAAAAAAACAAATTTAAAAACCTCAAAAATTTATCGGGCATGTTCTGAAACTCGAAACTTTGAAAGCGACTCGATTTGCCAAATATTTTTTAATTATAAATCGTAAATTTTTTGGTTCAAAACCATCCAAAAAATTATTGAAATCGAGTCGATTTCAAATTTTCGAATTTCAGAACATGCCAGTATATTTTTTTTTAAGCAGGTTATATACAAATTTTCTTGCCAAGAATATACTTCAAAAATGTTAAACGAAATCTGGCCAAGGGTAGAGAGCGCTGAGCAATATTTTGATAAAACAATCCCAAAAATCAATATCTTTGACCAGCTGCTGGCAAATATCCGTAATGACAAATCACATAGTAAGCCAATGAGCAAATTCAGCGCGCCGGCAGATAGAAATATCAAACAGAAGACAAACAAAAACTACACAAATAACGCGGAACAAACGTGAAAATGATAGTGACTAATATCAGTTCTAGAACTGCATTCAAAAACTATGTAAATAATGCCTTACAACCACTTCACTCACTTCCATGCACAATCAAGCGTTTTCAATGCTGGCAACAAAGTCAGAAAAGGGCAGCCTACAAATGTATGTATGTACATACATATGTATGTATCTTTGGCGCCCGCATAAGCTTACGCACATGCATATATATTTTTACTGCATACAAACGTACATATGTTCATACACTCTACCACCCCCCTAGCACCATTGCATTGGCCCGGCTTCAAAAAAAAAAAAATGACATCGCCGCCGCACGAGTCCCACAGCATTGGTTATCGTGTTGTCGCTGATAGCACGAAGCTGATGAATGCACTGTTGCCGCTTGATTGCCTTCATAAATGCCGCCATATACAGTCACTCACAAAATTACAAATATGTACATAAGTACAACAAAAAAATTCGTTACATGGAAGAAAAAGCTGAACATCGTCAGCAAAAAAAAAAATTATCAAAAAACAAAGGAAAAAAGTTTGAAATTTTGTTGAAAATTAAATTTTCTCAGAAATTTAAAATTTTGATTTACATAGTTTTTGTTGTTGAAATAGCTATATATTTATAAACAAAAACTAAGGGCGAAAATTTACCATGGAAAACATTTTGAATCACGTAAAAAAATCAATGCAACACTTCAGTGAGTGACTGTATGTATGTATGATTATACCCCACGATTTTTTTTTTATTATTAAACTATAGTATTTTCCTCACTGCTCGCAACGACTTTAAGTTAGAGAGCATTTAAGCAAAAGAACAAAATATTTATTTAAAAATAATTATTTAAAGCCAAAGTGCACTGCTACAACGACCACGCGCCGCCATTTACTATTGTTATTGTAATTCATATTCCTTTTTATGAGCGCCGCACCAGCTGCTGCCAACTGCTTCCTGCTACATCCTTACTTCATATTGCTTGTGTACTGTTAAGCCATCAAACCATTGTTTACATTTAGCTTAGGCAAGCAAAAAGCATCAACAACTAACTATATGTAGTTGTACTAAAAATAACAAAAAGAACAAAAATCTATGATACCAGTTAAAGCAGCAGCAACAGCCAAGTACAGCGGCAGCAGTTGGCAATAAAAGAAACAAGCAACAAGAACATTATCAAGAAGACAATTCTATAATAAAAATAACAGAATACTAAATGTAATTTTTATAGCGCGATAGCAACAATGCATAGCAACTTATATACATACATACATATGTATTAGTATATCTACCAATTTATGTATGTATATGTATACATATACACATCCTTTATAAGTAGTATCACATATCGTGCCCCTATAGCTCACAACTAAATTGTAGGAGTCCCCTTTGAATTCGCATTAACATCATCGTCGCGCTCGTTCTCGTTCGCTGCCCATGCCCAGGGGTGAGATAACCCTCTGCTCGTTTAGCGCTCGTAAACATTCGTCTGCATTCGTTTCCTTAACAAGCACATATTTACTCAGTCTCTAATAAGTAGGCGCAACCCCCAACGGAGAAAAAAACAAACTGGCTTGGTGGCTCTACTCTGAGAACCGCGACTAAAATGCGCGAGAGTTATCCCATTATTTTCAATACGCTCGCGGTGCAAGCGAAAATATATTCTTAGCATATCCTGCGCTCTGCCTGCTTGCTTTCCTCATCCTTCCAGCGATATTTGAGCTGTAGTGAAAAAAACTACCCTATTTCCTTTTTGGTATGCGATTGTATGTGTTGAATATATAAACTATGAGGCTTGACAACTTCTATTTAACGCTATTTGTGGGAATGTTTAATTCAATTTCTATTTAAGTATCCGACTTTACAATACTCG